TCTAGGCTTCAGAGAGACTTAATATTAGTGCAGAACACTGTACCTTTAATTTAAATGCCCTTGGAGTCTGCTGGGGAAGAGAAATAATACTGTCAGTCAGTATGACATGCAGATGAGTGCCGTCGATCTTAGAATCACCGCACACTTCACTCATTTGGGCAGTCACGGGGCCAAAACCAGAGTGTGGAGCCACAGTGTGGCGGTGGAGGCAGCAGCAATGGGAGGCCATACAGCACCCTATGACAAAAATGGAAACCACCAGCAGTGTGAGGAGACCTGAAAGTGGCACATGGCAGAGTGTGGCGATAGAGACAGCAGCAATGGGAGGCCGTACAGGGACCCATGACACACTCTGGACCTGGCAGCAGCATGAGGAGGCGGTACAGGGGCCCATGACAGATTACGGGCCTGGCAGCAGCATGAGGAGTCGGTACAGGGGCCCATGGCAGATTACGGGCCTGGCAGCAGCAATGGGAGGCCGTACAGGGACCCATGACACACTCTGGACCTGGCAGCAGCATGGGGAGGCGGTACAGGGGCCCATGACAGATTACGGGCCTGGCAGCAGCATGAGGAGTCGGTACGGGGGCCCATGACACACTCTGGACCTGGCAGCAGCATGAGGAGGCGGTACAGGGGCGCATGACAGATTACGAGCCTGGCAGCAGCAACTTGGACAGGAGGACGTTCAGCTTCTGCACCGTCGGGTGCGTGCTCGCAAACTGTTGTCTCTTGGAAACGGATTCCAAGAAAGACTGCTGACGGAATCCGTGAAGAGGAGTAGCAGGAGAAGGAGCATCTGAACGAGCGGAATATGCCAACAAGCGACAACAGTGGCCCATGACAGATTACGGGCCTGGCAGCAGCATGAGGAGTCGGTACGGGGGCCCATGGCAGATTACGGGCCTGGCAGCAGCTATGGGAGGCCCGTAATCTGCCAGCACCCTATGACAAAAAATGGAACCCACCAGCAGTGTGAGGAGACCTGAAAGTGGCACATGGCAGAGTGTGGCGATGGAGACAGCAGCAATGGGAGGCCGTACAGGGACCCATGAGAGACTCTGGACCTGGCAGCAGCATGAGGAGGCGGTATAGGGGCCCATGGCAGATTAGGGGCCTGGCAGCAGCTATGGGAGGCCCGTAATCTGCCAGCACCCTATGACAAAAAATGGAACACACCAGCAGTGTGAGGAGACCTGAAAGTGGCACATGGCAGAGTGTGGCGATGGAGGCAGCAGCAATGGGAGGCCGTACAGGGACCCATGAGAGACTCTGGACTTGGCAGCAGCATGAGGAGGCGGTATAGGGGCCCATGGCAGATTAGGGGCCTGGCAGCAGCTATGGGAGGCCCGTAATCTGCCAGCACCCTATGACAAAAAATGGAACACACCAGCAGTGTGAGGAGACCTGAAAGTGGCACATGTTTGGGGCATGATTCATGGCGGATTTAGTCAGTTGTGTCAGGAACTGGTGGTTTGAAATCCAGACTAATCCACGCCTGATTCATTTTCACAAACGTGAGTCTCTCCACACTTTGGGTGGACAGTCGTGTCCTCCGCGGAGTTGCAATACCTCCTGCCGCACTAAACACACGCGCTCCGATGCCACGCTACTGGCCGGGCATGACAGCCTTTCAAGGGCAAATTCAGCTAGTTGGGGCCAAAGGTCAAGTTTCGTTGCCCAGTAGTCAAGGGGATTGTCTACCTCGGTTGGCAGGGTGCTGTCCAAGTAGGCCTAAGCCTGTTGTTTGAGGTCCTGCTCCAGGTCCACCTGATGCTGCTGCTGCTGCTGCTGCGGCTGGTTAGTAGTTTCCTCCTCAGCGCTGGTGAAGAAAGCTACTCATCATCGACTGCAGACTGAGGCAGCCGCTGCTGGTGGAGCTGCCACTGCTCCTACCACCCCCCCCCCCTCCCCTGCTGCCATGGCAGCGGAACACGAGCGCACAGGGCCCACAGTGTCTGAGGATGGACGTTGGCGCAGACAGGCAGAGACCAGCTGACTACATAGGTGTTTTTTATAGTACGTTATTTTGGCCTCCCTCTCAGCAGGTGTGAAAAAGGCCACCATTTTTGAACGGTAGCGAGGGTCCAACAAGGTGGACAGCCAAAAGTCATCCCTCTGTCTGATGGTTATTATTCGGCTGTCGCTACGCAAGCAACCGAGCATGCTATGGGCCATTTGTGCCAAGGAATGCGAGGGACTCCCTGCCTCCATCTCCACAGCATACTGCCACGGTGCGTCTAGGTCCTCTGTCTCCTCTTCCTCCTCCTCTACCAGATGCTCCTGCTCCTCCACTCCTGTCCGCTGAGTGGAAAAACCACCCATTTCACTCAATAATTCCTGAGCACCAATGTCCTCCTCTACCTCCTCTCTCTTCTTCCAGTCCTGCCCCCACAGGGGCATGTGGCGTTTGAGATCTGTGCGCCACGTCTACCGCACCCTGACCAGCCATTGTTAACAGCATTTGTTCCAGGACGTGCAACAGAGGAATGACGTCGTTCATCCCATAGTCCTGCCGACTCACGAATAGCGTGGCCTCCTCAAAGGGCCTGAGCAAGCGCAGGTGTCACGCATGAGCTGCCAATGGCTGACATCTAAGTTACACAGGGAGTACCTTTATCTGCTTTTAACATCAGGAAATCTGTGATGGCCTTTTGCTGTTCGTAAAGGCGGTCTAACATATGTAGGGTTGAATTCCACCTTTTGCAACGTCACAGCATGAGGAGTCGGTATAGGGGCCCATGGCAGATTAGGGGCCTCAGCAGTTATGGGAGGCCCATAATCTGCCAGCACCCTATGACAAAAAATGGAACACACCAGCAGTGTGAGGAGACCTGAAAGTGGCACATGGCAGAGTGTGGCGATGGAGACAGCAGCAATGGGAGGCCGTACAGGGACCCATGAGAGACTCTGGACCTGGCAGCAGCATGAGGAGGCGGTATATAGGGGCCTACGGCAGATTAGGGGCCTGGCAGCAGCTATAGGAGGCCCGTAATCTGCCAGCACCCTATGTCAAAAAATTCAACACACCCAGCAGTGTGTGAGGAGACCTGAAAGTGGCACATGGCAGAGTGTGGCGATGGAGACAGCAGCAATGGGAGGCGTACAGGGACCCATGACAGACTCTGGACTTGGCAGCAGCATGAGGAGGCGGTATATAGGGGCTTATGGCAGATTAGGGGCCTGGCAGCAGCTATAGGAGGCCCGTAATCTGCCAGCACCCTATGTCAAAAAATTCAACACACACCAGCAGTGTGAGGAGACCTGAAAGTGGCACATGGCAGAGTGTGGCGATGGAGACAGCAGCAATGGGAGGCCGTACAGGGACCCATGACAGACTCTGAACTTGGCAGCAGCATGAGGAGGCGGTATATAGGGGCCCATGGCAGATTAGGGGCCTGGCAGCAGCTATAGGAGGCCCGTAATCTGCCAGCACCCTATGTCAAAAAATTCAACACACCAGCAGTGTGAGGAGACCTGAAAGTGGCACATGGCAGAGTGTGGCGATGGAGACAGCAGCAATGGGAGGCCGTACAGGGACCCATGACAGACTCTGGACTTGGCAGCAGCATGAGGAGGCGGTATATAGGGGCCCATGGCAGATTAGGGGCCTGGCAGCAGCTATGGGAGGCCCGTAATCTGCCAGCACCCTATGTCAAAAAATTCTACACACCAGCAGTGTGTGAGGAGACCTGAAAGTGGCACATATGGCAGCAGAGTGTGGCGATGGAGACAGCAGCAAATGGGAGGCCGTACAGGGACCCATGACAGACTCTGGACTTGGCAGCAGCATGAGGAGGCGGTATATAGGGGCCCATGGCAGATTAGGGGCCTGGCAGCAGCTATGGAGGCCCGTAATCTGCCAGCACCCTATGTCAAAAAATTTAACACACCAGCAGTGTGTGAGAGACCTGAAAGTGGCACATGGCAGAGTGTGGCGATGGAGACAGCAGCAATGGGAGGCCGTACAGGGACCCATGAGAGACTCTGGACCTGGCAGCAGCAGCATGAGGAGGCGGTATATAGGGGCCCATGGCAGATTAGGGGCCTGGCAGCAGCTATGTGAGGCCCGTAATCTGCCTGCACCCTATGTCAAAAAATTTAACACACCAGCAGTGTGTGAAGAGACCTGAAAGTGGCACATGGCAGCAGAGTGTGGCGATGGAGACAGCAGCAATGGGAGGCCGTACAGGGACCCCATGACAGACTCTGGACTTGGCAGCAGCAGAGGAGGCGGTATATAGGGGCCCATGGCAGATTAGGGGCCTGGCAGCAGCTATGTGAGGCCCGTAATCTGCCTGCACCCTATGTCAAAAAATTTAACACACCAGCAGTGTGAAGAGACCTGAAAGTGGCACATGGCAGCAGAGTGTGGCGATGGAGACAGCAGCAGCAATGGGAGGCCGTACAGGGACCCATGACAGAGACTCTGGACTTGGCAGCAGCATGAGGAGGCGGTATATAGGGGCCCATGGCAGATTAGGGGCCTGGCAGCAGCTATGTGAGGCCCGTAATCTGCCTGCACCCTATGTCAAAAAATTTAACACACCAGCAGTGTGAAGAGACCTGAAAGTGGCACATGGCAGCAGAGTGTGGCGATGGAGACAGCAGCAATGGGAGGCCGTACAGGGACCCATGACAGACTCTGGACTTGGCAGCAGCATGAGGAGGCGGTATATAGGGGCCCATGGCAGATTAGGGGCCTGGCAGCAGCTATGTGAGAGGCCCGTAATCTGCCTGCACCCTATGTCAAAAAATTTAACACACCAGCAGTGTGTGAAGAGACTGAAAGTGGCACATGGCAGCAGAGTGTGGCGATGGAGACAGCAGCAATGGGGCCGTACAGGGACCATGACAGACTCTGGACTTGGCAGCAGCATGAGGAGGAGGCGGTATATAGGGGCCCATGGCAGATTAGGGGCCTGGCAGCAGCTATGTGAGGCCCGTAATCTGCCTGCACCCTATGTCAAAAAATTTAAACACACCAGCAGTGTGAAGAGACCTGAAAGTGGCCATGCAGCAGAGTGTGGCGATGGAGACAGCAGCAATGGGAGGCCGTACAGGGACCTGCAGACTCTGGACTGGCAGCAGCAGAGAGGCGGTATATAGGGCCCATGGCAGATTAGGGGCCTGGCAGCAGCTATGTGAGGCCCGTAATCTGCCTGCACCCTATGTGTCAAAAAATTTAACACACCAGCAGTGTGAAGAGACCTGAAAGTGGCACATGGCAGCAGAGTGTGGCGATGGAGACAGCAGCAATGGGAGGCCGTACAGGGACCATGAGAGACTCTGGACCTGGCAGCAGCAGAGGAGGCGGTATATAGGGGCCCATGGCAGATTAGGGGCCTGGCAGCAGCTATGTGAGGCCCGTAATCTGCCTGCACACCCTATGTCAAAAAATTTAACACACCAGCAGTGTGAAGAGACCTGAAAGTGGCACATGGCAGCAGAGTGTGGCGATGGAGACAGCAGCAATGGGAGGCCGTACAGGGACCCATGAGAGACTCTGGACTTGGCAGCAGCATGAGGAGGCGGTATATAGGGGCCCATGGCAGATTAGGGGCCTGGCAGCAGCTATGTGAGGCCCGTAATCTGCCTGCACCCTATGTCAAAAAATTTAACACACCAGCAGTGTGAAGAGACCTGAAAGTGGCACATGGCAGCAGAGTGTGGCGATGGAGACAGCAGCAATGGGAGGCCGTACAGGGACCATGACAGAGACTCTGGACTTGGCAGCAGCATGAGGAGGCGGCGTATATAGGGGCCCATGGCAGATTAGGGGCCTGGCAGCAGCTATGTGAGGCCCGTAATCTGCCTGCACCCTATGTCAAAAAATTAAACACACCAGCAGTGTGAAGAGACCTGAAAGTGGCACATGGCAGCAGAGTGTGGCGATGGAGACAGCAGCAATGGGAGGCCGTACAGGGACCCATGGCAGACTCTGGACCTGGCAGCAGCATGAGGAGGCGGTATATAGGGCCCATGGCAGATTAGGGGCCTGGCAGCAGCTATGTGAGGCCCGTAATCTGCCTGCACCCTATGTCAAAAAATTTAACACACCAGCAGTGTGAAGAGACCTGAAAGTGGCACATGGCAGCAGAGTGTGGCGATGGAGACAGCAGCAATGGGAGGCCGTACAGGGACCCATGACAGACTCTGGACCTGGCAGCAGCATGAGGAGGGCGGTATATAGGGGCCCATGGCAGATTAGGGGCCTGGCAGCAGCTATGTGAGGCCCGTAATCTGCCTGCACCCTATGTCAAAAAATTTAACACACCAGCAGCAGTGTGAAGAACCTGAAAGTGGCACATGGCAGCAGAGTGTGGCGATGGAGACAGCAGCAATGGGAGGCCGTACAGGGACCCATGAGAGACTCTGGACCTGGCAGCAGCAGGAGGAGGTGGTATATAGGGGCCCATGGCAGATTAGGGGCCTGGCAGCAGCTATGTGAGGCCCGTAATTCTGCCAGCACCCATGTTTCTTTTCCCATAGTAAAGGGGTTTGGGGTTTTCCTGGGTTGGGCGGGTCTTCCAAGTGGGGGGCCCAAAGGGCCTGTTTTTTGGCCCTTTGCTCCAGTCCACCTAAGCTGCTGCCCGGGCTGGGGCTGGTTATTAGTTTCCTCACTGGCTGGTGAAAAAGCTACCATCAACGACTGCAGACTGGGGCCAGCCCCTGCTGGGGGAAAGCTGCCCTGCTCCAAACCAAACCCCACCCCTCCCCTGTTTTGGCCATGCCAGCAAAAACGGGGAGGGGCACGGGGCCCCACATGTCTAGGATGGACTTGGGCGCACAAAGGAAAGGACCAATTTACTACATAGGGGTTTTTTATAGTACGAAATTTTTTGGCCTCCCTCTCAGCAGGTGTGAAAAAAAAACCAAATTTGGCCCCGGTAGCGAGGGCCCCCCCCCCCCCCCCCCCAAAAAAAAAAAAAAAAAAAAAAAAAAAAAAAAAAAAAAAAAAAAAAAAAAAAAAAAAAAAAAAAAAAAAAAAAAAAAAAAAAAAACCCTTGGTGGACACCCCCAAAAGTCATCCCTCTGCCCCTAAAGGGGTTTTTAAAATTGGGCTGCCCGCAAACGAAACCCAACCAGCATCCCTTTTGGGCCATTTGTGCCAAGGAATGCGGGGAAACTCCCCCCCCTCCACTCCACCAAACTGCCACGGGGGCTTTCGGGGTCCTCTGTCCCTCCTCCTCCCCCTCTACCAAGGCTCCTGCTCCTCCACTCCGTCCGCTGAGTGGAAAAACCACCCTTTTCCTCAATAATTCCTGAGCAAAAAATGTCCCTCCTCACCTCCCCCCTTTTCCCTTTTCAGCCCCCCCTCAGGGGCCCTTTGTGGCTTGAACCCTGTGCCCACGTCTACCGCCCCCGCCCACCAAATTGTTAACACCCATTGTTCCAGGACGTGAAAAAAACAGGGGAATGCCCTCGTTCCCCCCCAAAACCCTCCCCCGACTCCCCCGAATAGCGTGGCCTCCTCA